GGAAAGTAACCTTTGGTTTCGGATTGCCTAAAATCGTACTCACTTATAAGATACGTTTATATTTTTCACTACTTATTTATTATCGGAGTTCGATTCATTTTTCTTTCTCCGTGCTACGTAATGTTTAAAAGGTTGTCGGCGGGGATTTTGTGTCTAAGCTTATTTGCTTTGCCAAGCTGTTGGATGCTTTTCGGTTAGGTTTTAGATCTACTTGTAAAGATTCATGGGCAACCGCTCAAGCATTAAGTCTAGCACAGATATGATTGTTCCTCGCTCATTTGCCATGTCCAGACGTCCAAAAATGGGAAGCGGAGCTCCTCAACTTCCAAATTCTCGATGGAGACCTCCTAAGAGTGTAAGACTAAGATTAATGTTTGAACTTTGAATTTATTCTTTCAAAATTACTTTTTGTGCTTTTTATGACTTAAATTGAGAAATACATTGTTTTATTTGTGGTATTATTTAATTCCAATACCTTACTTTGCATGTCTCTTCCGCTCTAAGTTTGGATAAATTTGGCTTTTTGTAGTTTTAATATCGCCTTTAGCAGTTTTTTAATTATAATAATCAAATATTACAAATTAAGCTGTTTTTGGGAGAATTAGGTTGCTTCTCTCTTTATCCCCTGTTTAAAATTTCTATACATTCTGTACACCGCGCTGAGTGGTGTAGCGTTATGAGTCATTTTAAGGTACACGAAGTTCTGTGTCTATAATTTTTATTGTTATAACGTGACTCTTTATGGAAGCCATGCTCGTAATTACATGTATACTTCTCGAAGAAATGGCCTGTCAAAAGGTTTCCTCAATGTATTTTAGTTTCTTGGTGCTTTAAAGCTTGAGATTCTTTAATATTTGATGCTAAAGGTCTAAAATTATTTTTTATGTTTTTGGATGTTTTAAAAATTAAGTCAAATAATTTGTTTAGAATTTGTATGCCTCTAAAGGGAGGAATTTGTCTTCATGTGTCTTAAGCTTAAACCAAAAAGTTCCTAGCTAAGTGCAGAAACCATAAGTTAAATTTAGTTTTGCGTGTTTTAGCTGTGGCGATGCATATTTTTTTACTTTTATACTGTTTGTGGATGCATTTATAGCCCTCCCTCTTTTGACAACCTCAATCTCTAGAAGCAAAAGGCTTTTGTATCATATGGAAATAAGCCTGACATCTCACCTCACAAAGCAGCCTATGGGGCCTCTACTTACATGGCGCAGCAAAATAGGGTGCACACCGTTCCTTACACCGCCAATCCTCTGCCTCAGTCATCCAGCACAATGACTCCGACGGTTACGCAGACAACATCAATGATGGCAACTGTGGGAGGGTGTCCGACTAATCCTGCTAGTCGCGTTATGCCCCTACCTCGACCTCCTGATGTCCCCACGGTGGGATCAGTGGCGGTAGTGCCTCCTATTGCTCCCCGACACTCCACTGGCGACACCTACCGTCGATGGAACCAGAAGTATGTAGCACTGCATGACTATGCAGCGCGGGTGGAAGACGACCTCTCAATGTTGAAAGGTCAGCACTTTTACATCATGGATCGGTCGCAAGGCTATTGGTGGTACGCTAAATGCACCGACACTGGAAAGATGGGCTACGTGCCTTTCAATTACCTCGCTCCCATCGCCAGTCTCGAGTCAAATGAGTATGTCTCTCCGCTCTCCCTCACCCTATCTTTCCGTGTTGCCATGCTTTTGGTCCTTTTCATATAACTGTTTTTGTATTTGTGTTCGTTCTTTTTCCTTCTTGACAGACTGTGCATGGTCGAAATGATTTACTGTAAGACGTCAGGATTATCTAATTGGTTCTTTCTTGTGACCTTGAGTTATCTATGGATGGCTTAAGGATGCTTCTATCATTTCCGAGAGCATGTAGGTTGCGTCCGCATCACTATTTTTTCGTCAATGGGACAGAAATGTATGATGTAACAAATACTCTGCAATGACGTCCTTAAGTCTACTAATAGAATTTGCAAAGAGCGTGGCTTTGATAATTTTCTTTAGGTGGCACTTTGGCGACATGCGGCGATTAGAAGCGGAGAATTGCTTGATGATGCCAGGAAATGGCCACGGCTCCTTCCTTGTTCGAGTTAGCGAATCCAGAAGTGGAGAATATTCTCTTTCAGGTAGGATAAATGTCAAACAAACTTTTTGCTATCGAACTTGTTATTTACCATCAACATGGTTGTCCGAATCTGTTCAGGTAGATCTCCTTTCTAAGTATGCAAATAAATGATTGTTCTTGCTCTCCCCATGTCTTGGTGTCAAAATCTTCCACATTCTCTTTCGCCATTCTTGACATCCTCAATTGAGATTTTACTTCTGATCTGTTGCCTGTGTTTTTTCGTTAATATTTTTTCCCATTTTTATGAAAAATCTGGGTATATACTATTTAGGTTTTCACTTGATGTGATTTAATGTGAGGAAACTAAATGTTACCTAAATGATGGAACAAGTTTATTTTTCTTTCTGATTTACGAGCCATTTTGGAGTCCTTCTTTCAAATTTTTTTGGTGACTGAGCAAACTTTTGCATTATTCCTGTAACTATTGCCACTCTCCCTAATGGATAGCTCTCTACCTTAGTTTTTTCGCACTGAATCCCATATTTTTTTACCTAATCAATTTTAACGTTTCAAAGACTTTAGTCATACAACTATTTCTCAAGTACTAAAATCGTAATTCCCTGATGATGAAAGCAGTACCTCAATGTGTGCGCTCGCTTCGGCACAAAACACCGGCATTAAACCCGCATTATGGGTGAATTAATAAGATTTATGCACTTTTCTCCTCTACCACCACTTCTCTCAGGCATATTCGAAGGTCACCTTCGCATCGCTCTGACCAATAACCACCTGCCGGATCGACCAATCGACAACCTGAATGATGAGCTGCTTCTACCTACCGACCGATATGTCCTTTTCGTGGTCAAGAATTGCATGTTTGGGATCACGATCCCTCTGTGAATGGTCATAAATCCACCTAGATTGTTGGGGAAACGCCTTTGCGTGATTCCATACCTGCATGTTCTAAAATTCCAAGACAAATGGGTCGAAAATGCATGCTCTTCGCGTCTTTGTGAGGGAGAGCTGCTACATTCAATGAAGACACAAAGGACTCCGAGTCTTGGTAAAACAGCATCACAGCTTTTGGATTCGTCTTCAGATAGTCTAGAATACGTTTGTACAAGGGTTTCCTCTAGATATCAAATCAGCTCCGTGTCTGCATTTGGGCATAAATTTAGGTAGATTTCCTTTTTAGCTGGCTGCTCACTGTTGTAAGCACTTCGTACTCAAACTCCGGGCACAACATTTCTGTCCACACTCAAAATGTGTGCCTTTTTTTCCATTTCGTCAAGCCGTTTGGTAACAAAGATAATCTCCAATGTGTGCACTTTTTCTGTCTGACGAAAGCAGCTGTAAAGGTGGAAACACAAACAAAAAATAACTTTTACATAGCGCTAAAGGTAATGTGGCACTGAAAGACTTTACCAGGCATGAGCTTGAAGGTGAATCTACTGCGGTGTTTAGGGGCGAGTGGAGTCGTGAGGGCATGAAATGGCTGATGTAGTAAAATGCAATTAGAATAATGATCGTTTTGTCATCGTATTACAACTCATGCCTACACATTGATTCAATTTTACATAACTTCTAAGTTAAAATTAGTCTTTTATTATGGTCTTTAACTAGGCAGTGCCAAAAGGCAGGGCGATGCTATTTGATCCGTAGAAACTGTTTCTTGCATGTTTCCACGACCACTCTTCACTCGAATCAGATCCTTTACAGTGCTGTAACATCCTCCGAGGCACTAAAAATTATCCCAATTTCTCGAAAAGTCATGTTTTTTTCCTGCGATAATTGCGAAATTTTAATACATTCACATTTATTAGTCAATAAATCAGCCTTTTGTCGCAGTCAATTACCAATGTACTTTCAAATATTTGTTGCACAGAACTTGATTTTAGTTTATTTTACGTTTGTCACGTTTTTGCTCGTCTGCCATGAGATCCCTTCTTAAGTGACACTCGACCACTTGTATCACCTGCAAACCTTCCAAATAGCACGGGGCTCCTTCTTCACTCATTTCTCTTTGCAGCCAAGCCTTACAATTGAGACTTTTCATTAAAACGCACGCTAAAATTTACTAGAATGCAACGTTGGTTTTAAAAGTGGCGTAGTCGACAGTGGAATCGTTAATGCTCGAGGACTCTCTACACATACCACAGGCCACATGAAGCTGTTGAAGTCCAAGCTTCACCAGCAGGGAAGACGAGCCATAAGAGATTTGAAAAACTCATGTAATCGCACATTCAACCAAAGTTATGTTTATTGCGCGTTTCCTTTCTTTGAAGTGCGAGACGGTGATGTGGTCAAGCACTACCGGATTCGATCACGACCATCAAGAACGAATCCCGATGTACGACGCTACTTCATCTCACGCCAGCTTCCCTTCGCCAGCATCCAACAGCTCGTGGAGCACTACATGAAAAATCAATCCGGTCTCTGTTGCGAACTCGTTGCGCCCTGCATCAAGGTATGACCTTTTGTGCAATTTCTCTGACCAAAAGGAGTGCGTTGCAATTGAGGGTGGAGAGAGAATGTCTTTCTTAGTTGTGTTCTGTAGAACGAATGTGAGAATTAGGTGGTACTGTGTGGATGCCGTGATGGGAAAGATAGCGTTACTCACAGCCATGATGTTGTTCCAGTGACTCAGATTGACTCCGCTGCGTTACTTGACTAATCCTGACTCAATTTCAACTCGTTTATTTACAAAGCATCACTCCATTTCCCTTTTTTTATCGTATTTTCGGACATCACTAATAAAAGCAAAAAAGTCTTGTTTAGTTTTGTTGAATCACATAGTGGATCTTCGATGAAATCTGTTCGGACTTAGAGAAGCGAAAATAATGCATTTTTTGAGTCTTTGATAGTCGGTCTCCACAAAGGTTTTATGGTGCGCTCTGAATCGCACTGCCGCACACGGCACATGGGTTGGATAGACTTCCCTGTCTTGAAAACCATGGCGGCCTTTTTCCTCATGAGTTTCTGAAGGACTTTTCTAAATGAAAGGGAGAGAGGGCGGAACATGGAAAGACGAACTGCCAACCGCATTGCTGGATTTTTTAAGCATTCTAATTGATGCTGTTCAGATTTTGACCAGACCATGAGGAGTAGCACAGGGTACCCGAGGAGAAGCTCCCACAAAAGTGGTCACTAGCCAATTCATGTTGACACCTATTAGCTATTGAGTGTTTGATCAGCCGGTGTAGTATGACCGGATGTTGGAGGAACGAATTTCGAGTGCTGTTTCCGTAAATTATGGGGCGAATTGAATTCAACTTTCTGGTTAGCTTCCATCACCTTCCAAATCGCAATCAGAGAATCAGGTTATTGGCAAGCACTGAGATTGTTTTTTACATGTGTTTTGTCATACGGCATCAAGAAAGATATCCAGAACTTTCGTACAGCTGCCACTGTTGTTGCCGTTATCGAAAACTATTTACTTGGTTTCTTTGCCATCTGACATCACTAACGCGTTTGTGTGAAAAATTGCCTATATCTTCCACTTCATCAGATACTTCAAAAGGAACAAGGGTTATGTTTTTGTTAAAGAGGAGGTCCATAAATTCGTCATCATCATCTCCTCCTCCTCTTCCTCAGGACAATTAAAAGCTGCCCATTTTCTACCATAT